GATACTCCTTTGAAGAGGTATGGTAGAGCCGCTTTCTTTCATAAACATAGATTGTGTCAACTTGATGTAAGATGCTCTAGAGGTAGCCTGCTTCCTTTCTTTAAAAAGAAAAAAGTTGGAAATTCCATTTCCTTTTCACTACTGGCTAGTAATCCGAGTGAAACAAAGCTTCAGTGATCTCAGGGTCTGTCTGTCCTAACCAGTCTGTAGAATCTTGCTATCTGACTTTGTGGAGTGTTTATGAAGATTGTATGCATGCTTTTGGGAAACTGAAAGCTAACCAATACTGATGATGCATAGCTATGCTGTAGTTTGGTAAATACTTGTTAGCGTTAAGATGGGAGGATAGATTCCTGCTCTGCAATAGGATGGTCAATAATCTGACAAGAGAGGAAAAAAAGCCCTGAAAAAGTAAGAGTTGCCCTTTGTTGCAAAAGTTGAGGCTCTTCTACGTCAAAATGTAGCAGTGTTTCAGCACGACTAGAAAAATCACTTTGAAGACTTAAGCTTTTGAGTAAGACCACAAAATAATTCCTGACTATTATTGCTCATGTTTCTACGATGCTCTTTGGAACAGTAGCTAGTGTTAAAAGCAGAGAGCATAATCCAGTGTGCCATTCTGTTTTGCTTTTGGAATTGGATCTAGTTTTTCTTGCTTCCTACCCCAAACTGTGTACCATTCTCTATTTTGGAGACAGATTGCATCTTGCAGTGACTGAAGAAAGGGAGGGTTGTTGCATACAGACAGTGTGTGATCTGTTCTTTAGTGACTAGCATGATTTGGACCACTTGTGAAAGTGTTGTCATTCTGGTCTTGATAACACTCTTGATATTGTACACATACTGTATTTGAACTGTAAAGTGTATGCGTAGTGTTCTTTGTATATGTTTCCGTCTTTAAGTTTTAAAAGTAACTTTTATCAGAATCGAGGCTTGCCTTAAAACTACTTGTTGACTCTTTCACCTTCTCATTAGGAAAAGTGGGTTGAAGTTGCATCGATGAAGATACCAAGAGCTGGTGTCTGTGTTGTTGCTGTGAATGGATTTCTTTATGCCTCGGGAGGCCGAGCTCCCAGTCATGATTTTGCTGCTCCGGTAACCTCTGACTCTGTTGAAGTTTATAACCCTCATATGGACAGTTGGACTGAAATTGCTAACATGATCACCAGCCGCTGCGAAGGAGGTGTAGCTGTGCTGTAAAACACAAAGAAGAAAACTCATTCAAGGAATGGCTAAATCTGTCTCCTCAGATTTCCGGTTTCATTGAGCAGAAACCTCTTCTAACACAGGAGCTTCAGTAGAGACAGTAGAGAATTAGATTAGAGGGCTTTTCCTGAGCGAAAGGAAATACTAAAACCCTTGCCCTTCAAAGTAAATTGGCTCATCCAATGCCTGTCTTGAGAAGTATTCTGTTAAGAGTAGGAATGCCTCTTACGACTAGATTAAGCTCACTGAAATAAATGGTGAATTTGCCCTGTAAAAATCTGAAGAAATAATTCCAGAACATTAGAGACACTAATCAGGTTGTTAACTCTCTAAGGTGCGCCAAAGCTAGCATCTTTAGCTGGCTTTACAGTCTGGAAGGAGGTTACTATAGAGAGGTCAGAGTTACCTGTAGATAAGAGCAGATGGGCTACTTGGTTAGCATTAGTTGTCCTTTTCTGGTGGAAAACAAGAAAGAGAAGATAACAGGTGGGGAAGACCTGGTACTTCTGCTGATCACCTGGATGGATTTGAGCCTGTCTTCTGCTGCTGGACATGGCGGGCATTAAATACAAATTGGATATTTACTTTCTGGCCACTCTGCTAACTTGGATGGTGAGTGGCTGAGAATTTCCTGTTCTGGAAGGTTATTCTCCCAGTTCTAGTAATGTCATTCCACTTCAGCCCAGGCTTTTCTTCCCAGTGCAATCTGTGATGACAGTAGAGCTTTTTGTGTAAGCTCTGATGAATTTTTCAATGGAAATGCTATTCATTAGATAAGCTGTTTTGTTTAGGACTGCTTTTAGTATAAAAATAGAGAAAGCCTTTTCCCTTTTTTTTTCGCCCCTTAGTTAAATGTTTTACCCTGTGTGACACAGGCTGAGACTTGGCGTTGGAATACATGCTGTTCTACAAGGTACACGTGTTCATCCTTGCTACATCTCATATCCTGCCTCTTCCAAATTTGAGTGGACAGAGCATTTTGTGATAGAATTAGCTGCATTCAGCGTTAAAGTGATGCTATTAGTGTCTTAAGGAGTTTGTATTTAGCTTGGATACACTTAGTAGAACAATACTACTAGGAGTTTGGAGTTATTTCTGGATTCATTTGATTAATGTACTTCAAGTTGCTTTTTGCACAATATGATTGCATTTTCTGCACAGCTGTGGATGATTTGGATGGAGTCTGCAGTAAGGCTGCTTGAACTTTGATAGACACTGTTACTTTAGAACACAAAACCACAACTGGAATGTCACAAAACAAGAAGCCTGCGCTGTGTAGATAAAGGAGCATTCATGTTGTCTAGGTCAATATCCCCTGTGTAAAATTAACAACTTAATACATGAATAAAATCCTCCAAGGTGAGTGTTGCAGGTACCTTATGAATCTAGGTCTTACGTTCTAACACAGGGTTGCGAGATTGCCAGGCTACAACATGTTGGACGATGGAGCATTTGTTTCTCTGATAGTTCTACAATCTTGTGTGTGCTTTCCCTTCAAAAGGATTTCTTATGTGTGTGAACTAATGTTTATTCTGTCTTTTTTTTTTTCCAAGTTTAAGCTTGTTTTAAACAGTTTTTCATAATAAAATGCATTTTCAGAACTGACCGTGGAATGCTCTTGAATAGGCTGCTTTCCTATCATACTAAGTTGTATCACTGCCACTGTCATATGTAACTTTTTTTTTTAACTGGAAATCCTATTTCCTGGTAGGAGAGTAGGAAAAGATCGGTTATAAATGTTGACTATTTGAAAGGTGCAAGTAACACTTCTGTAGTAAAATACTCATGTATTTGTCTTCTCAGTGTAAAATCACTCAGACTTCTTGGAAGTCTGGCTGCCCAGCCTGCTCTGTGCAGTGCTCTGGGATCAAATGACAGGTACTATTTCTTAGGCTTTCTTGTTTACATTTCAGGATCCCTTGTGAACCATTTGAGAAACGTTACATTAGCTCTATTTTATTAGTTTGGGAACTAGGCATTCACTTCTAATCCCTACGCCATAAAATTTCCGGTTTAGTGCAGTCTGAGGGAGTCTGCTGTTGTATGAAGTTACCTTCTCCAGTTTGTGGTTGATCCTATCGTGGTTGAATGAACTCGAAAGTGAGTTGATCATGGTCTCTGAATCATGCACCTCTT